AAGATTTTTTTTTTTTTTTTTTTTTTTACCTAAGCGGTACACATAGGCTGGAAACAACTTCAGGGTTTTGTAATAAAATATGTATCGAGGGGGGGACTGGTATGAGGACCGAAGGCCTGGTGAACAGGCACACCTTTGAAAGCAACAAGTGGTTTAATGCAGTCCAGAAACAAAGGAGAAATCCACTCTGAAACACTTCAACACAGTTAACAGACAACAGTTGGTAATATATACATATGTGTGTGTGTGTGTGTGTGTGTGTGTGTGTGTATATATATGTATATATATGTGTATGTATGTATGTGTATATACTTATATGTGTATGTGTGTGTGTGTATATGTATTTGTACAGACAATAGATGACATTTCAGTAATAAGGAATTAGCTGAAGTAGAGAAAGCTCTCAGTATAACATACCCCTGTGGAAGAGTACCCGAGCTTGAAGGAAGGAATAAAAAAGACCATCCCGAAGTGAGGGACGAGTGGGGAATTGTTTGTTTTTTGTTGTTGATTTTCTCCCTCTTTGTTTCTGCCTTCCCATTTTCTCATTTTGAACATTGCCCCCTCCTGTTCAGGCCCTGATTCCTCTCTGTGTGAATGAGCTGTGTCATGGTCTGATAGTTTGTCCTTGAGTCCATGGAAATCATGTCTGTCCCCCAGTGTGTCATTCACTATATCAGTCTCTCACTGTTGCTGTCACTGTCCTTTAGTCTTTGTCCTGTTTTCTTATCAATTAAACACATACATACATTCATCACCTACACAAAATCCATGTGCCAGATAACAAATTAACAGTATTTGGTGTGTCTGTTATTTGGTTTCACACACCATCTATTGGAAGGACTGAGTACTGCACAAATCATCTTTCTTTCTACTGTTCAGGGTAGGTTTACTGGGAGGCCACCTCTTTTTCAGCTCGCATTCACAGCTGGAAGCTGCCTGTTGCCACCACAGACTGGCCTGTGGCCACTGAGCAGCTCCACTGGAGCAGATTTGGGATTAAAGGGCCTTGCTCAAATGCACCACAGTGGTTTTAATAAGAGTGAGGCAAAGGCTACTTTGTCATCTGTCCCACCCTGATGTTTACCTGACAGGTTTTGACTATTTTCTCTCTTTAGGCTAACACATAAAAACAAAAACAACTTGGCACTACAACAATATCACAAGACAAAATACACCAACATCAGGAAAAACACAAAGACCACCACTGTGAGCATCAACAGTACCAAAAGATCAGTGCCAAAAGCAACTAGAATTAATCGCTCTTCAGTTGTACGCCTTCGCCAACCAGTCAAATTCACGGGTGTGGGGCAGAAGTGAGCCTTAACCTATGACCACCAAAATCTTAGTTCATCACTGAGTCAAGATGGGCACTTGTGGGACGGACAGATAACCCGTAAACATATTGCCTCCGACCGAGCCTATCGCCAGTGCAGAGGCATAAAAACACTGGTCATAGTATCTGGACTTAGTTTGTGTCTGTACACCTGTGTTCACCAGGTGTCGTCAGCACAGCCTTCAGCCCAGCAGGTGCGTACCCAGCAGGTGTCTACAGCCGCTGACCAGAATGCAACGATGGCCAAGCTGTTCGCCACCTATGATGTGTGCGAGACGTCGCACCACCTCCAGATCACACACCTTGACCTGCACATATGTGACGACAACCATGTTAAGGACAAAGGTACAGAGCAAAATCTTAAAATGGCAGAACTTGTATCTCCATGGGCACAGAGATGCTTTTCTTCAATGCGATATATAAAATGATCTTTGACTCATTGTGAACATGCGCGCACACACACTGGCTGAAACTCGCATCTTTATCTGGTTATTCCTATTTCTTTGCCTTTTTATACCACAGAAGTTATTGCGCCAAACCTTTGTTTGTGTGTGTGTGTGTGTGTGTGTGTGTGTGTCGTTTCAGTACAGTAAAAACATTTTGGCTTAACCTTTTTTCGTTTTTTTTTTTTTTTAAATGCCATGGTGCAGCGATCAATAAGAGAATAACAGGTGGAGCCATGCAGCTTTCCTTCAGCTCCATCACTCTGGACTACTACCCTTTCCACAAAGCAGGTACACATCCTGTATTTTAGGCCAAGATGCAGCATGATGTCATTATAACCTATTTACTGTTATGCAATCCTTGCTGAATCTCCAAAATAAACTCATTTATTTAAATAGCCTACAATAAAGTACCTTATTTCTGTAAATAAATTGAACAAAGAAGCTCAGAATAACTCTATTTTTATTGCTGTTATGTCACGTCATCATTACATCTGTTCATTACTCTCACGGGCGTGCAACTACCCGCACCTTGCCAGGTGACAGCTGTGCCCACTGGATGCACTACAGCGACGCCACCAAGGCTAGGGAGGACTGGGCACGGTACCTGCTTGATGAGTTCGAGGCCAATGTGGAGATGTTAAAGAATGCAGTTCGAGACCAGCCAGGCTCGGCCACTGCACATGGATCCCCACAGCTTGGTAAACAAACACACCTGGCAAGGGATTTACATAACTTGACTTTGGGTGTATGTTTTTGTTGTATATCCTGACACAAACACAGCACCACACCATCATTTATGTCATCCCTGTGGGTTTTCTGTCCTTCAGTGTCCCTTAGGGACAATGTATATGGACCTCTAGGAAGTCAGGAGAGAACAGGAGGAGGAGTAGGGGTTAGGGAGGCTGAAGGACTCCTAGAGTGGAGCCCACACACACAGCCTCCAGCCCAGTGCTGCTGGTGCCTAGAGCCAGGTACCACGGTGTGTGTGTGCGCACAGCTTGGTGCGGTGATGCACACCTTTTGCAAGGCACAGAGGTTTCCTATTGAAGAACTGAGTGGTCGCTCTGTTTGTCGCTTGCTGTTGTTCTGGTTTTATATTCCTCTCTCTCTTTCCTTCCATCTCTCTCCTTTTCTCTCCAGGTAAGATAAGCACCTCCTCCACCATTTCCTTTAGTCCTCCTCCCCCTCAAAACTCCAAGGCCCACCTCATGTCCAGTTCATTTGTTCTCAGGATGGCTGACTTCAGCATCTACCAGGTCACTACAGACACACTAGCTTACAAACCTCCACATATGAAGAGATGTGTCTTTTTCAACTAACTTCAAGTTTCTATTTCCTTTTGTGTGTTGCAGGTGTCAACAGCAGACCAGCGGTGCTCCAGACCTAAAACCATGATCTCCTGTAATAAGAAGTCATTGTACCTCCCCCCAGACATGCCAGCCATCCATGTCGAGTTCACAGAGTACTTTTTTCCAGATGGAAAAGACTACCCCAGTAAGACTTGTATCTACTGTAGATTCCGGAAACAAGAAATATTAGTGACTCTTTCTCTCACCTTCTGTCTGGATCTGTTAAAAATGTATATAACCAAGAAAGCAAGAAAAAAATTGTTAGTTCCTGTTTTGTTTTGTTTTTCCTTTGATTTCTGATTCCTCATTCCCTCTTTGTTCATATGCCCATGGAGAATGTGACATTATATCTCTTCCACATTTCCTCCTTCCTCCTGACCCTCCAGTCCCGTGTCCCAACCTGTATGCCCAGTTGAACGCCCTGCAGCTGGTTCTGGATCCTCGCAGCCTGGTGTGGATCAGCCTCTTTGCCCTCGATCTCAGGCAGAGTCTGGAGCAGTTCATGGAGATCTACAAGCTCAACGACTCGCAGAAACCCGATGAACATGTTGACATCAAGGTTGACGGCCTCATGCTTAAGGTAAAGAGGGCTCCCAACCTTTGTTTAGATTTAAAATTTGGTTTGTGTATTCTGCTTTTAATGCTCGTCTTGGTTTCTGCTCCCCGTTAGCTGGTAATTCCAACTGACCAGGAAGCCTCATACCCTCCTGACCTGCCGCGCTCCATCTCAGTGCAGACTTCAGAAATGGTGGCCACCAACACCCGACACCCCGCCAACTGCACTCGCTCCCACCTTGAGGTCCTGCTGCAGGCCTTTGAAGAGGAGCCCTTCTTCTCTTCTGATTTCTTCTCATTCCCTCGCTCCTCCTCCTCCTTACCTCTCCTTCATTCCATCTTCCAACGTCATGCTCATGAACAAGACACCAAGCTCCATGACATCTACCGTGGCCTTGTGGTGCCAACAATGGGCACAGATGCCCTCAAGATGTCGGCTGCTACTGACTTTTGGGCGCTGCACTTTGCGCAGTTCTGGGTGGACTATGAAGGCAAAGGACGGCCACAGCCCTTTGTGGACTCCTTCCCTCTCACTGTATGGGCGTGTCAGCCAGCCAAGCTCCTCCAGCACCAGCAGAAGTTGAAAGGTGCTGCTGGATCAGGTTTGTCCAGAAGCCCTTCTGCAGAGGTCGTTGCTCGCCTACAAAGAAAACGCTTATTAAAGCAGTATTACAGTACTGTTGTGTCACCAACATCTTCTCACATCAGTGATGCAACACTGCCACCCAGTAATGGACTCAATAAACCCCTCTCATTACACACTCTGCCTCCTTCCTCTTCATCAAGTAAAGATGCAGATGTGCATGTGCTGGTGCATGTGCAGAAGCATTTAAGTGCTCAGGTATGTTTTTAGTTCTGTTTCAGGAATGCACAGTGGATTTACCTATTTTGTTTTATATGAGCAATTTTACAGTTATCAGTTTTCTTTAATGTGTAACACTGATGCACTACTGTGTGCCAACGTAGCTGTCCCTAAAGTTTCATGTCAAAGCAAGGTCAAATGCATTAAAAGCCCATTTTTGGTTCATTTCCAGGTTGATAAAACACCCACTGTTAAATATTTAATGCCCACCCCCTTTGCTGAGGCTAACAGATGTCTCGAGTTTTTTATTTTTTATTTTTTTTATTTTAAAAGTTCAGGCAGCAGACTTCTCATTTTTAGTTAGTACCAACTGTCATTTCTCTAGGTTGAATCTATGGTCGCCAGCAACAGATTATGACAACTTTAAATGAGAAACATTTTTGAGCTTAAAAATAACGTGAATCTTTTGAATTTTACCTTTTTATTGTTTCAAATGTTGGAAGCTGAATCTAAGTGGGTTCACTGTTTAGAATAGGCCTGATCATTTGTGGGAGATGACTGTCTTATTCTAGTTGATCAGAAGCTTTATTCAGAATGGTTCATCCATTATGGTGTGTGTGTGTGTGTGTGTGCGCGCACGCAGGTGAACCACCGACAGTATGTGTTTCTGATGCACCTGCAACGCAGCATCAAAGCCCTGCAGCAGGAGCTGGAGGAGATGGGCTCCAAAAGAGAACGTAAGGATCCCTCCCAGCGTCCTGCAGACCACCAGCCCTTCACCGTCTGCTTGGGCCTTCTGCTGAAAAGCGCAGAGGTGTCCCTGCTCCTGAAGCCCGTCTCCCAGCCTGCAGGTTCAGGATCCCCTCTGGTATCTGAGCTCTCTCCCTCAGAGAGCCGAGGAACTCTGGAGCCTGTGAGCGACACAGGAGAAGTGGTGGAGAAGAGCGAGAAAGGAAATGAAGGGTCATGCTCTGTAGACCAGTTGTTAGGTGGTGAAGGTTCAGACGGTGGAGCCATGCAGTGCCCTCCCCCCCTTGTCCCCACCTCCATGTCAACTCACCATCCTGACTCAAATCACAAAGCCTCGCTGGACGAGAGCACTTTGGCTAAGAACACTGGGAAGTGGAGTTCAGATGCAGGGGGTGAGGCGGTGTTGGAAGTTTTGGTTGCAGGTGATGGAATGGGAGATGGACTCGACTCTAAAACCCAGGCGAGTGAACCTCTGTTTGACCCACTCACTAGCAAAGACTGGAGCGACAAAGACCAGGCAGCAGCTGCTAAGATGTCTCAGTCAGTATCCAGGTATTCAACTGTTAATTTCTAGATAGATACTTTGTTGATCCCGAGGGAAACTCAGGATTTATAGTACAGTGTCAAAATCTGTGGAGTTTTCTGGTAAACAAAATGCATTTCTTTCATCATAAAACAGATTTAAAAAAATGTTTTAATTGTTCAGTTTTAATGACTTGCATTTTTCTTTCTCACTGTTTCTTGCTTCATTTGTTGGTGCATTACCTCCATCAATCAGTGAAATATCATGAAAATGGCACACAATAAAAAAAACAAAAGTGTGTGTGTGTGTGTGTGTGTGGTGGAGCACTATTAAAAGCATTGCTCTGCTACAATACTAGTGGCCAAAACTTCACAGGTTATTTTTAGTGCCAAGGTTTTACTGAGTTAAGTTTCTACTTTAAAAAAAATAAGACGCTCAAACAATTAGTACAGTAAGAAGGTTCCGGGTTCGAGTCCTGGCCGACCCAGTGCCTTTCTTTGTAGAGTTTTCATGTTCTTCCCTGTGCCTACCTGGGTTCTCTCCGGTTACTCCGGCTTCCTCCCACAGTCCAAAGACATGCCCGTCTCTAAATTGCCTGTAGGAGTGTGTGGTTGTTTGTCTTCATGCCAGCCCTGTGATAAACTGGCGACCTGTCCACGGTGGCCCCTGCCTCTCACTCAGAGCTGGGATTGGCTCCAGCCCCCCTTGACCTTATTCAGTAATAAGCAGGTTAATCAATTAGGTGACCAACAGGAAGTGAATCAGCAGTAGTGTTATTTGACATTTAAATTTGACTGTTTGGTTATTAAAGCAGTTTATCAAGGAAAATACTGAACACTTAGTGGTTTCAGCTTCTTGAAATGTGATTTTATTTTTTTAATGCAATTTCTTCTAAGTAATCACTTGTCACTATTTTTCATCTTTTTTATTATATAGTTTAACCAGGCAACATTTCCCTCTGTGTGATGAATCTGTTGAGTGACTGTCTCTGTTTCTGAACACGAGTTGTGTTTGCTTGTATGACTGTTCAGTCTTCAGACTTCATGTGCCTCTGACATTTTGAATGTTGGCTGCCATATCTCCCTGTGTGCGTTTTCTCATCTGCTCTGTCAGCACTTCATATATTTGTCTTTAGTTAACTAATTCGCTTCCTTTTCGGCCTCTTGACCTTTGCTTTGACCCATGTGAGGTGTGTGTGTGTGTGTGTGTGTTTTCTCTCTACCAAGGAAAGGAAGTTTGTCTGTGGTTTCTGATCTCCTCAGCTTCTCAAAATCCAGCAGATCCACCTCCCTTTATTCCATATCCAACATGTAAGGCACTGGATCTGTGGCTAGCTGTACTGAGTGTGGGTGTACATGTACTCTGTGTGTGTCCTTGTTCTTGTGATCGGTGGATGAATACATTTCAGTGCAGATGGGTGTATGTGAATCCCCTGTGGGCATGCATTTGCATTTGCATGTGTGCATGACACACCAGTATGTGTTAAATGGGTCCTTTTTCATGTGTTGGGTGTCTACCTGTTCACTTGTACTGAGGGTAGGGATGTAAAGTGGAGCTCCTCGTCTGTGACAGGTCTTTTTGTTTTTTTGGCCTCGTGTTCTCAGTGTTTTGAGAACTGCTTTGAGTTTGACCGACCTGATTTTTCTTTAGATTGTTTCTTGTGTCTTGGAGGATAGCATGACCTTAAAGAAAACGACACACAGGAATAAAGCAGCGTTTAATTCATGATTTGTTTAGTAAGCTCTGAGAGCACAGTGGTCTCTGCTCAGTATCAGCATAAGAGCAACGTTCTTAACGGATGTAGTGAAGTCAAACGGCAAACTGATTTTTCCCTGTTTCTTTTCTTGTCTCTGTAAGTTAACAATTACTCATTGTCCCTTTCATTCAGCCTTAAAATCAATGGCATGCATGGACAGTGTTTCCTAATCTGATACAGAATAATTAAAATGATAGAGTAATTATATCATTTATGCTGCTTCTGTTATCTGCTACACTTTCTTCTCCATCTCTGTTGCAGTGGTCGTTTGATGCGGGACCGCTCCCAGTCCAGTTTCTCAGTGTCCTATAAGAACATGAAGAAGAGCCCTTCCCTCCGTTCACTTGACAACATCTCCATCGACAGCTGCCTTTTGGAGGATGGAGACATGTACAGCCTGCCAGAGAGAGGTGGAGAAAACACACAGATAATTAGGACAGCCTCCTAATAGTTGAATAGTTGAGTCATTAGTTGCGAGACCTGGCAGTCGACTGAGACTCTAGTCAAGCCTTTTGTTTTTATTTTTGTCAGTCAGTGTGCATTACAATACAAGGTAGCCCCAACCTGGTAGTTTGTCATCCTCTTCTCATTTTGGTGTGTCAAGCTGTAATTTGCTCAGCGCTTCCCCCCTGTGGTCGGGGGGGAATACCCACTTCAGTGGTGTCATTGTACAAGGCACAGATGTACCTTAAGGTCAGATCTATTTAGCTAATTGCAGAATAACTACTAGGACACGCCACATAAAGGTGAGATCTGTCTGTTGCGATGATGTGGCTGGTTTTGCATAATGTTATGTGAAATTGGTTTGTTTACCTGCCTCCATTAAAGTGAAATGCACATCCATTTACCAACTGTTTCTGCGACATGCACTGGTAAAACATTTCAATGAGGAACTATAAATCAGATGAATTGCTAGTAGTACAAGCTGGCACATGTCAAACTTTAGCTTCATTCTCCAGAAGCTCCTGAGTTTCCACTCTGTGCTGTATCTTGACTTCTGTATGCAGTGGAGGAAACAACAAGAAATCTCTAGACGTCCTTGCAGATAGCTGTTCTGACCAGAAGGTGGCTGCATTGTGCTGATGAGCTAGAAATGTGCAGTGTTGCAGGAAAGCAATATATAAAAGGCCGCATGAAACGTGTGTAGTTCTCTGTGTGAGTTGTGCCTTTGTCTCCATGCACAGATGATGCATCTATCTCAGGCTTCAAGGATGCCATCAATGAGCAGAGCGCCCCTGAGAGTGCCACTGAGGCCGTGACCGAGCAGGAGGGAGGCGGGTCCCCGGACACCGTCAGCGCCACCTCCCAGAGCATCGATGAGCCCACCAAAGATATAGTAAGATACATCAACCTTGGAGAAGTCTACGAAAGTAAAGTGTTCCAGCAGACATACAATATTATATACACATTTATATGGGTGTGGATCTTCTGTCATCTGATTTACTGTCATGATGACCTTGTAATCAAATGTGTATAAATTTAGTTCAGAAATATTGTGAAGAATGTGTAAATTTCTGATTATGTTGATTATAATGTTTTGTTTTTGTGTGTGTGTGTGTTCGTCTCCTTCAGGTGTCAGTGCTGGTGTTGAAGGTGCAGTCAGTGTGTGTGGGCATGGAGGTGGAGGGCGAGAGCACGGCCGTGGCTCTGGAGGTGGGCCAGGTCACGCCCAGCCAGCTGGGCAACATCAGCCTCAGAGAGTATCTCAGCAACCGCAGCCTGGGTACGAAGCACATACATGAGTTATTATTTTCTGTGGCTAAAAAGTGTAGCTGAGAGAACCAGCAGGAAAAGTCTCTTCCAGTTTTTTTTTTTTTTTTTAATTAATTCACAAAGTAGAACATCTTCGTTGAAAAGAAATAGAGATGCTTTGTGTCAAGTAGCAACGCAGTCAGTACAAAAAAAAGGAAACAAAAAGGAACAATTGTCCTAATTTTGAGAAGCGCCAACAAAAACGCCACCTCTACTGCTTTTAAAATCGCCTAATTTGTTTGCAGTACTGTAGCTCAAGGTTTCCATTGTATATGATGATGATGTGCACTCAAACTTAGGCTATGTTTATTTTCCTAGGTTTACATTTCTTACTACACTGCTGTTTTTAAATAATGGCTACATCATCATAAATAATATTAGAGTGAAGAATAAGTTGGTCTTGTATAAATGTTTCACCTTCAAACAGACCAACCAAAATGAACTTGTGTAACCGTCAACTGCAGCCTATTTCTTAGTCTCAAAGAAGTGCCTGACATGAAAGTGAACCCGGCCACATTAGCAGCTTTTTGCTTTTGTAGATTATGTTTAGTTGAACTTTGATGGTATTTTGCCTTATGTGGCAGCGAGTGAGGGGAAGCAGGAGGACAGAGAGGAAGCACTTGTGAAAATGGTCCCACCACAGACTCAAAGTTGGGTTTAACCCACTGGGATGTTTCCTACCTGACGCTGTATTCTCATTGTTCACATTTGAACAGCTGCAGCAACATCCAGACATCCTTTCACTTCACTGACAGAGCTGTAATATGCTGAGAGGAATTAGAGCTGCAGCTATTACCTTATTAATGTATTAGACTGTCAAAAAACTATTTGACAGCTCTTTACAGCACCAGTAATATTTTGTTTTGGAAGAAACAAGACATTTAATAACTCTAATATTATAATGTGCAGTTCTCTGATGTTTTTAGACCAAAAGATGAACTGGTTCATAACAATGAAATATCTTCAGTTGCAGCCTAATATGAATTTCCTAGTTCGCCAGTGTTCTTTGTGCACACACACATGCACATTTATACAGTAGCTCAACCACCCCCGCTTCTTTTTGTTTACCTTGCCGTGACTCCCCACAGGTTTGGTGTGTTCAGTACCAATACCTGCTCAAAGCAGCCAAGGTAACTGCTGTGTTCATTCACCATCTGTAACTTCACATGCATGCTTGCCTCAGCTTGTCTGCTTTCGCCTGTGTGTGTGTGTGTGTGTGTGTGTGTGTGTGTGTGTGTGTGTGCTTCCAGTTTGTCTTCTGTCAAATCTAATCTCCAGACTCTGGACTTGTGCTTGACGGCATGCACCACAGATGCACATAGATCCAGTGTGTTGCAATGCAAGTGATCAAGTGATTGCATGAAGTGTGTGCGTCTCATTTTCCAGCAGCAGCAGCAGCAGCAGCGAATGTTTGTGTGACATTAAGATCTTTTCTCCTGTGTGTGTGTGTGTGTGTGTGTGTGTGTGGCACTTGAGAGGGTAAATCTGTCAGAAATGGAAAGTGGTCTCATTATTTGCCACATTAGCCCCACAACCTTTAAGTGTGTGTGTGTTGGCCTCAATCTCTCTATTAACTTTCTGCCTAATTTGCCCTATCTTTGTCTCCCCCTCTTTCTCCCCACCTCCCTCATCTCTCCACTGCAGCAGACTTTGCAGTTTCAGTCCAGTGATTCAGGCAATAAGAGAAACACCAGCTTTACCCCTTGCTACTACCTCCTCCTATCTCACAAGAACAATCCCTCCCCTTCCTTCTCTCTCTTGTCCTCCACCTTTCCTCCTCACTCTTCCCTCCAGCTCCTACTCCATCTTCCTACTAATCCCTTGTCATCTAACCCCCTTCCTCTGCATCTTTTCCTTCCCTTCATCTCTCTCCCTCTTGGGGCCATCTTTTCTCTCCCTGTTTTATCACACTCACTCAGTCCTTGGCTGCTGGCTCCCTCTCTTTCTCCCCTAACCCACTCTCATCCCCCCTTGACCCCAACCACCCAACACTGAGAGAGAGAGAGAGAGACTGTCATTTTATGTGAAAACAGCTGGGAGCATTGTGTGTCTGAATGTTTTTGCTTTCTGGTGTTAATCCTGTCCTACCTTTCCTTCAGACAGCGTATTAAAGAGATGTGATGGAGTCCTAATTCATAATGAAGAGATTTTTCTTTAAGTAGCCATATTCATGCCTTGCAGAATGATTCTTTTGCAGCTTGCAATGTCTTTAGCCTGTGACACGCTTGTGCCTGTTATTGTGTGCTAGCTGGTTGAATTATTGTGTAGAGACTGTGTGAAGGAGGGTTTTAATTACCTTCCTCTTGATTTTAACCCCTCTCAACCTCGACTTTCATCACTTCACGTTTGTCTTCTTTCTCTCTTCCTTCAGCTTTTCACCTCCTCTTCCTCTTTTCTCAGTATCATGACATTTTGTAGTACTGAGAGATGTCATTCAGAAATGGACCACTTGATGTGGTCGCAAACTGTCTAGTCTTTCACAGTTTTTAGCGCCTCAGAGCTTAGTTTTGTGGAGTAGCTAATGCATAAAAGGAAGAAGGATTCTGAATGACTGAATTCTCCATTCTTAGGTGGGTCTCCAGCGAACCCTCTAATCCACATGTGTCAAACTCAAGGCCCGCGGGCTACATCCGACCCAGCGCACAATTACATCCGGCCCGCAAGATCATTTTATATATCTTTTTAATGGCCCGACGATATGAAGCGCCGAAAACACACAAACTACAAATCCCATAATGCAGTGCAACAGCTGCCTTACTGAACGATAGGCTACCTGTGATCATTCCCGTATCAATCAAGCGTCTGTTGATGTATACAACCCTAATTTCAAGTCAAAACTAGCCCCTAACAATGGCCAAGAGGAAAGTTGATTCTGAAAACAGAGCCTTTCTAAACCGGTGGGAGGCTGA